TATGGTAGGATCATTTCTGGCACCCTTATTTTCACGAAGTTAATGAATGATGGGGGGGGGGAGCGCTGAACTCTGTCTTCCTGTCATCAACCAGAAATGCGTAATTCTTTTAAAAGGCACGGTCCTTGGCAAGCACACTGTGTAGTATCTTGCTTCCTTCACACATCACGATAATCATTTATCAACCTCCGATGAACGACGAGTGATGAAGCGACCGGAGTGCGAATCCTAGACCTTTCGGTTACGAGTCCAATGCTCTACCGACTGAGCAACACCGGTCACGAACGGACAGGTGCTAACAACCAGGGGTCTGAGAAAACTGTGACAATTCAGAAACCGGCTTCTGATATGGTTTAAAAGGGATCCCACGAAATTTCACCGCTGACAAATCTGAGACACTAAGTAAAACGGTCAACACAGGTTTAAGCAATTCTGCTGTTAGATGACGAGGAAAAGTACAAAAACAAAGATTAGAGGAGTATCTTAGAGGGTCAATGTGTGTGATTTTCATTGGTTATATTTTACGAACAGTAAAATGAATTTTAACGTCGCTCTTCCCAGAACCGTAGAACTTTAACAGTGTGTAATCTGCCGCTTACTTTGCATGCGCAAAGTTGATGTGATATTCAACAGTAAGTTTGAACCTGTATGATGCATGGGTGCAAAGCCAAGTGTTCTTTACATACAACTTAGTGCTTCCTAGAATTCGTATAAATCCAGAGAATTGAAACTCATAATACCGTTATATATTTGCCTGCAAAATTAGACCCAGTTATCAGCAAATGCCAACGTTCTTCGTCAGCATAGCATTCCATTTAAAGGGTCCATCTTTAACTTGCAAACAATGCATTTGTGACGGCTTTCTGAAGATGGGCCCGGAACTTCATGCTAATTGTACGTGCATAATGTCTTCACGTAGAGTAAACAGCTTAAGGATAATCGTAATCCAGACCTCTGCACCTAAGAATGAATTCAAGTCGTACTTTTAAAGCTGCCTTAAAATATCCGGTGGGCTTTCTTGGATAGTGAAGCTGCCTGATGGACATGAGTTGCAACCACATCCTGGCACTTATGAGCGCATAACAGCTGTCACATCAACAGAAACAAGCACATGGTCATCTAAACTCATGCCAAAGTTGGCCTTGGACTTCTAAACGTTCAACATAATCATCTCGTCTATTACTGTCGATGAGTGTGGCATAATCGAGGCAGTAAATTCGAAGCTCACTGCAGATACGGCCTAATTTTGAGTTCACGAATGTTTAGAAATGGCAAGTGAGTGGCGTCAGGACCGTTACATGTAACTTGAGTCAGAGAAAGAGGCGGCATGTGACTCGCCGTGAGGGTTCAGTTCAGCTGAACTGAGTCTACTTAGCGGTCGATACTGCCACATAGCGCCATGCGATCAGCCGGCAAGAAACGTCTGTAAACACGCAACGGCCACGCCACGGCGAGGGTAGGCGAGGCATGCACCTCTGCAGTCAAGCGACACCGCCATCTGTTACTCGACGACGGCGGCGTCGTAGCAGGTGACAAGTTGTGTGCGGCCTGGCGCCACGCCAGAAACACACGTCGTCACCGCCATCGTCACAGAGGAACGGGAGGTTGCGATGGTTAAGGTGACGGACGACCAAGTGATGAGAACCTCGGCGGCATCTGGTAGAAGCACCGCCACACCGAACCGAATGGAATGGAAAGGCGGCCAGCAAACAGTCGTAACTTTCCACTTAGCGTGTTCATCAATCACCATCCTTCAAACACCACCACACCAACAAGTCGCCACCCGCGATCACACGCATCTCCAGTTACACACACACATACGGTTCGCATTAACGACCCGTCAACGCACGAATACTAATAAACCGTAGTAAGTCTAATTTGCGAGGCTGCACAACAGCATACCGATCCATTATGTGGCCGGCGCGTGCCTCATGGCACCTCAACATGCTCAGTTCGATCCGGGCTCTATAGGAGTTAGTTTACGGGTCATCAGCGGCAAGTGAGTTAGTTGCCCAGCATTCGTTCTCACGAATACAACAAATCTCTTCCATATGCCACTGCATGCCGGCCGTTCAGT